CTTACCCCTTTTCCCTAATCCACTCTAAACCCTAACTCGCCCTAACCCACTAATCCAACCTTCTCCTAATTCACCCTAATCCCTCACTCACTCTTTCCCTAGTCCACCCTCTTCCTCTCCCTGCCCCCTAATTTACCCAATCCTCTAACCCACCCTCCTCCCCGCTCACCCTCATCCCTCCTCCCCCTTACACTTCATACTCCATTACTCAGTCTACCCCCTACCCTACCTCTTCCCCCCTTATACTATGCCTGAAGAGTCATGGGATAACACTGTCTTCACTCCAACTTTTTATTGCTGCGTTTTTTATCACCATTTTGAGCTCGGCTGTGTGATTCTGACCCATATTGGCCTCCATATTCCCCTCTTCCTCTCAACTCTCCACCCTCTCGCCTCCGGGCTGTTTGGATGACTGTTGGTAACTTCTTGGCGCTGGTAAACGTCTGCTCTGAGGTAGATATGAAACTGATAGACACCGAATATAAACGCTATTCGCCTGATGCTAACCTAACCTAACCTAACATATTTAGCATTATGGTGTTTAAATAGTCAGGTAAAATAAGCAAGGGTCGTAACCTTCAAGTGGTCCCTCTGGTCTTCTCTCCTCCAACATTTCAATTTGAAGGATATATAAAAATAAAATCTGGAACAGTTTATTTAGCCAGAAAGTGAAGAGTAACAACAATATTGACACGGCTGAGCCAAGTGAGAGCCGAGGCAGTCTTAGTGGCGCCTAATAAATACTGAACAATTATCTCAAGGAAATTATTCTATAACAGTAAAATCATCATGATTACATAATGGTAGTTATTACATATCAGATTGTTACCATGTTATCTTATATTGTATTTTATATGCGATTTATTGTTTGTGTATATATAATTTAGTATAGAGTTGTTGATATAAAGTGATGACAATACAACTTGGGTTATGTTAAAGTGAAACATTAAAACGACCTCACTCAGGGTCATGTGGTGAGGGTAAAGAGGATCACCCGTAGTGGCCAGTGTTGTCAACTCATCCTAGAGTCTTTATGATATAGTCTGCACGTAAGAGAGTAAGTATTACAACTATTTTAATATTTAGACGGTAGATGTCTTTCAAGGTATGATATAAGGGAAGGGAGCGTCATCGTTGTTGGGATGGATGGGAGTATGTTGTTCCTAACCTTCACACCATGATGGTTTATGGGGGTCTGGGACTGAGAGGAACGCCGAGGGGGGGGGGGGTCTTTCGTAGGTCTGTCTGTTTTAAGTTGTACTTCTGGTTTAACGAAACTGGAAATAATTATTCTGAATCAAATGTTTAACTGATAATAAACAGGTGCAGCACAGTAGTAAATATTAATATATGTTTAATTGAACAAACTGGTCGCTTGTGTGGTCAGATTTTCTTAAATAAGTCTCACTTCTTTTCTGGACAATAACCAGACGTTGTGTCCTAGTGCCAGAGGGCCCCATAGTGTATGGCGGTGAATCAAGTGTTGGTAAGTTAGATCATAATAGACTTCTTTTATTACTGCAGTAGTGAATGAATGGCTGGCGAGTGTGGTACAGGTTGCCGCACTGTTTATTGATTTTATTGTGAATGACTTGACAGTTGAATGTAGTTTCTTCATTTTAGTTTATCATCAACAACAACCCAAAGGACTTTAGTAGTGTGTTCACGTTTGAGGACTGTATTACCCAGGTACAGGGAGTCAGATCTGGGGGGGTTCTCCTATCAGAGGTTGTGTAGTGAGTTTTTTCAAGGTTTTCCACACTTTTTGGTTCTAATCAAAGATGGGGATATACGTGACTGGCCTGCAGATTACCTAACCTAACCAACAATAACAATAACAAAAACTAACCTGTATTAACCTAAATTAACCAAACCTAACCTAAAATGACCTAACCTATAATAAACTAACCAAACATAACATAACAACATAACATCATAACATAACAACATAACATCATAACATAACAACATAGCATAACAACGTAGCATAACATAACATAACATAACCTAAACAAGCCTCTCCTACACTAACCTAACCTAACTTTGCCTAATTTTCACCATAAGTACCGATAACTTCGTCATAAGTTTGTAACGTCAATAATTCTTCTCACACTACTTCACCATCCTCTGATACACACTCCTTCATCATCCTCTGATACAGTAATTATTCCTCTTCTTCCCCCTTTCTTCTTTCTTTGTTCTCCTATTACTTCAATATTGTGTCGATTTCTTCCCACCCTTTATATCCTTCCTCTCTACTCTTTACATTTTCCCTCCCTTTCATCCTCTCTTTTTAATCTATACTCACCTCCCGTGTTTAAGTCTTTTAAGTCTCCAGGACACACTACTGTCTTTCTCTCTCGATTTCCTTTCTCTTGCATTCGCTACTTTCTCCCACCCTCTCCACTTTGCTCTCTCCTCTTGTCTTTTTGGTCTTCCCTCCCTCCCTCCCGCCTCCCGGGTGAGCGTCACTTGGCCCCCTACTGAACCCTGGGTAGTGAACTCCATAGACTCCCTCCTTCATTGTCGCCGCCAGTTGAACAGCCCATAGACTCGTCTAGTTAATCCCCCCCACCTCTCTCTCTCCCTATATATATATATATATATATATATATATATATATATATATATATATATATATATATATATATATATATATATATATATATATATATATATATATATATATATATGATATATATAATGTGTGTGTGTGAAGGACACACACACCTCAGCTCTCTTGCCTTGTTATGAATTTCCTACTTTGTTCTGTAAATCGTAGGAAGTAGGTAGGTGAGGAGGAGGGGGGGGTGAGGTAGAGAGATAGACAGCTGTGTCTAGCAGAAAAACTTGCTGAATCTGACATGGGGATGGCCTTACATTTTGCTTCCTTCCCTTGGAAAAATTCTTTCGACGGTCATGTCAATTGGTCCGGGGTGTCTGGGATGCACTGCTCACACGGATAGGATGGAGATTTTTAGTTACATTGTCAGAGTTTGAAAGTCATTGACTACCTTATTAAGAAAAGGACGATTTTAAATAATATTAGTAAACTATACAGGGTGTCTTAGAAAACTGTGCACACCTTGCCTTATAGAGTTAGGTGGATATCACGTGAATGTTTTTGTTACAAGAGTTGATGTGGTGACAGTATTGTTGTTGTAATATCAGCATTCATACGATCTCCAGGAATATCTGTAAGTTAATGTGTAGAAATTTTTTGAGAGACACTATATTGTTTGATGACTGGTAAGACGTGTATATAATACCACCCTTAGGAAATCATGTATGGGAGTGGGTTGGGTAATGACTCAGGTTAAAATATTTAGGTTAAGGATTCGTGTGATGACGCCAGATGCCTCGAATAGGTTGAACACTGATCTCACTCGTGTAGAAAGCGTTACTAAGTATACTGAAGACACTGCAATATTTTACAGTAGTCAGATTAATATGTGTAGATACGATGAAAATTCTCTTGATAATATCTATCATTTACTTGTGAAGCATAAATTGTAACTTATGAATTACGACAGAATAACAAAACGACAAAAAAAACACATCTTAATACAAAACTAAATCAAAATACGTTGATGTTAAAATCTGAAGCAGGTGTCAGATAGTGGCAAGAGTGTCGAGCGAATTTTATCCTCAGCTGTACACACGAGAGATGAGTTTACGAATTTATAGACAAAATAAAAATATGGAATATACTGTGTCAACCCATCCTGCATTATGGCAGTTAATCTCTTATTGTCACTCAGTCCTTGGTTGAATCACCTTACTGTTTACCATTGTATACTTGACCTGTGCGCTTAATTAATGTAAACTTGTTTAACACCCCAAAAAGATTAGACTATGTCCCCCTTATCATAGCCTTCTCTGTTTTGTCAACCAGTCTGCCATGTCGTCCTTCCTCATAATGTTAAAATACACATGATCTACAGTGAATGTGGTGTTGTGTATTATGTATAGAAGTTGACACAATGCACATGATCTACAGTGAATATGGTGTTATGTATTATGTATGGAAGTTGACACAATATGCATGATCTACAGTGAATATGGTGTTATGTATAGAAGTTGACACAATACACATCATCGATAGTGAATTTGGTGTTATGTATTATGTATAGAAGTTGACACAATACACGTGATCTACAGTGAATATGGTGTTATGTATCATGTATAGAAGTTGACACAATACACATGATCGATAGTGAATATGGTGTTATGTATTATGTATAGAAGTTGACACAATACCCATGATCTACAGTGAATATGGTGTTATGTATTATGTATAGAAGTTGACACAATACACATGATCTACAGTGAATATGGTGTTTTGTATTATGTATAGAAGTTGACACAATACACATGATCTACAGTGAATATGGTGTTATGTATAGAAGTTGACACAATACACATCATCGATAGTGAATATGGTGTTATGTATTATGTATAGAAGTTGACACAATACACGTGATCTACAGTGAATATGGTGTTATGTATTATGTATAGAAGTTGACACAATACACATGATCTACAGTGAATATGGTGTTTTGTATTATGTATAGAAGTTGACACAATACACATGATCTACAGTGAATATGGTGTTATGTATTATGTATAGAAGTTGACACAATACACATGATCTACAGTGAATATGGTGTTATGTATTATGTATAGAGGTACTACCATGAGAGTGGTGGGCATGCAGTATACACTCCCTCACACATCTCTATAATTATGACCATTTTACAACACATTATATAATTAAGAACTCGGTATCCACAGTTAGGTCAAATTAGTGTACTCGTGTTGGGTTTTATATTCATGTTGTATAATTGTTACCAAAGACGTGTATTATAATTGACTGTTGTGTTGTATAGTTGTGTTTCCCTCTTTAAGGTAATAATTTATTAAACAAATATTAAATGTATTCTCTTTCCCCTTTACTGATGATTTTTATTTTATTTTTTTTTTTTTCTATTTTTTTTCAGGTGTGGATGAGGCCCAGTACTTCTGCTTAATTCCTTCACGTATCGGGAGATCGTGGAGCACCAGCAGGTAAGCAGGCGGATGAGGGAGTGTGTTAAACAAAGAGAGAATAACAGGGAAGTGAAGGAGAATATGTGAGGAGGAGGTGGTGGTTGTTGTTGTTGTAAACATTCCGATGGTGGTGAATGGTGAGAGGTAATGCTTGTGGTTGTTAGTAGTTGAGAAATAGGTGGTGGGAAGTTAGTGAGGCTTGTTGAATACTACTACTATTTATTTATTTTTTTTTTTAAAGTGGCCTCCAGCCTCCGCCAATAGCCACACCTTCGCCACCATTTATTTACCTTAATATTAAATATCCTAATACATAAGAAGCTATCCTATCTGTGTTAAATTAGTTGAGCCGCAGATCTATGCGGCATTCAGTGACTGTAGCCTCATTGTCAATATCTGCAGCAGTTGTCTGAGTAGGGGCAGAAGCTCTCGTTCCCCTGAGGCAGAGCAAAGCCGACCGAAGGAGAGAGAAAGACAGTCAACATCTCATCCAGGCTGTAACATAACTTCTGGGCTGATGCTTCTGTTCGGAGATCAACTCCGCGAGTCTGGCGTAGAAACATCTTGCACTTGGGCCCATCCCACCAGAGGTTGTGAACACTAGAGGAGTGAAGCTGCCTTGATCAACGTTTTGAATTCTCTCCCTATATGCCCTTCTCTTGTCGTTCTCGTTCCTCCTATGTGCAGCATCGAGAGCTAGGTTACGGTGACATGCGGCCATGGGATAAAAAATCCTGATGTCGAAGAAAGCTCGCTGTCCCTGCGTCCAGAATCCTCGAGCACTGACGTCCACGCGGGCTTCGTTAGATGTGTTTGAAGTCCTGTGTTGGAAGATCTCGCCATCCAGTGGAAGGAGGGTCGGTTCTACCATGACGTCCCGGCAGATTTCCTTCAACATATTTGCTGTGAGATCCCTTACCTCGTCATACCTCATGCATATGAAGCCCCCCTTCTTGCAGACCATGGCGTGATCGCCATCATAGGAAGAGCCACACACCCATTGGGAGGGCAAACCTTCTACTGGCCAACCATACCTTAGAGCAATGGCATCTGTAAATTCTTGTTTATTAAGACTGAAACTATTTGCCCTTATCGGTAACGTAGTTAACCAGTTCGAGGCGCCCACCTCCTGCGCTATAGCTACTTTTTTTTTCAAATTTTCTGGAACCTGCAGCAATAGTTGCTGCAGTTGCTACTACTACTACTACTACAACAACAATAATAATAATAATAATTATAGTAATACTAATAAACAGTTTACTTACACTAGACCACGCCAAACAAGCTAAAGATAAGACACAATATTGTTACATAAATTATACAAGGGGTGAGTTTAGTTGATACACACAAAGAACAGGATGTATATTTTTAAGGTATAAACAAAAGAGATGGAGTAATACAATGGGACAAGAGAAGGAAGAACATTAACATCTAACTCTGGGGATAATTGTGCCTTGTGCTATCCCGTCTTATATAGTGACGAAAAATCCCTGTGCACCGACAAGAATGAACAATACAGTTGTTCCTTGTTATACCTTCATTGTTATATACGTTATTCTACTTGTTATACCTTCATTGTTATATACGTTATTCTACTTGTTATACCTTCATTATTATATACGTTATTCTACTTGTTATACCTTCATTGTTATATACGTTATTCTACTTGTTATACCTTCATTATTATATACGTTATTCTACTTGTTATACCTTCATTGTTATATACGTTATTCTACTTGTTATACCTTCATTATTATATACGTTATTCTACTTGTTATACCTTCATTGTTATATACGTTATTCTACTTGTTATACCTTCATTATTATATACGTTATTCTACTTGTTATACCTTCATTGTTATATATATTTCTCTACTTACACGATATATCCTCTTCTAACTTTTATCGTCACCATTTTCATTATTTACTCTTAAGTAGAACAAGGTAATTAACGATATTAATAATTATAGGTGCAGTGGAACTTTTCGATCACTTTGTTTGAGAGAGAGCAATATTAGGCAGTGATCTGTTCAACTTTAGTGATGATTGGCGTTTCCACTCTTATCAACAGTTTGTATATGGCGTATTGCGACTTATTACAGATAGACACTTCGTATATTATATTGTAGGACTAGTGAGGACCCTGGGTGGAGGCGCCTCGTTCGTTCATCTGGGGACCTCTGGTAGAAGAGCCTTGAGGACGATGTATGGTGGTGGTGTGGCTGTGGTGTAAACCTTTAAAGACGGTGGTGTAAACCTTTAAAGACGGTGGTGTAAACCTTTAAAGACCGGGGTGTAAACCTTTAAAGACAGTGGTGTAAACCTTTAAAGATCAGGGTGTAAACCTTTAAAGACCGGGGTGTAAACCCTTAAAGACGGTGGTGTAAACCTTTAAAGACGGTGGTGTAAACCTTTAAAGACCGGGGTGTAAACCTTTAAAGACGGTGGTGTAAACCTTTAAAGACGGTGGTGTAAACCTTTAAAGACAATGGTGTAAACCTTTAAAGACGGTGGTGTAAACTTTTAAAGACAGTGGTGTAAACCTTTAAAGACGGTGGTGTAAATTTTTAAAGATGGTGGTGCAAACTTTGAAGGCGATGGATTAAACATTTGAGGACGATAGTTTAATCCTTTAACGGCAATGGCTTAACCTTGGGTGAGGACAGTTGTTTAGCCATTTGAGGACGATGATTTAACCCTTGGAAGACAATGCTTCACGTTTAACACCAGCCCACTGAACTTCACCCCAGTTAATAGATAACGACAGGTGTTGCTGATACAAAACTTCCACTCACAGTCATTTTGGTAAGTGAAAAACGTGCGCTATCTTCCTGTCTATAAGCGTCTTCACCTACCCCTCATTACAGGGTCAAGTTAGGTCAGGTACACGTTTAGAAGATCGTAATATTTAATAAGTTTTTAGATCACCTGAAGATTAGTCACCAGATGATCAAACAACCCTAACGCTAATCTAAATGAACCTACCTGGTAACCTGTTTAATCATCAGGTGAAATAAACTGTGGTGTCTAATCTTCTGGTGATTATTTTTGGTCCTTTATATTTAAGGTTCTAAAAATTATTAGATCTATTATGATTACCATATTAACTAGGAAAATTAATTAATATTTATAAGTAATAAATATTTACGTTGAAGCTCAAGGCTAATGGAAGTTTTCCATAATGTTCAGTAGCCATTAACGGAAGGAATAGGCAAACATGTGTGAGTTATAGGTGCCGAGATAACGCTGACCACATTATCGATGGTAATACACAAACACATCACGAGCAACAGGAGAGAGAGAGAGAGAGAGAGAGAGAGAGACACACGCCATACATGTTGTAATCATCACATCAAACAAGTGAACCTTTACGTGTAGTCATGATATCCAGCCAACAAATCAACTTAATTTCGAGAATCAAATGCACGCTCCAGGGAAGAAGGTAACATCACCATCCGTAACAGTGTAGTAACAAGGATGATGATGTGTTACGTGTACACCAGCAGTAGGTTAAGGGCCTCTGAAATGTGGTGCAACAGGATAATGGTAAAGATTATTTGCACTGATAGAAACAAAAATGAAGGAAGATGACAGGATATCTCTTACAGGAAGAGAATACGGGATAACTCTAATGAATATATCATAAAGGAGTTAACAAGATGATTAGGGGGAACTCTAGACAGGTATGTGTATAAAGAAACACCTGTAGCCACGAGCCCTGCGGAGGATCAACTAATTTGTTTACGATGACGTGAATAGAAGGGAGGTGGGCGGTAAATATACTATACAGGGTGTCCTAGAAGTCGGTATTAATAGGCAGAATTCACCATTAACATTTACTAATTCATCAAACATTCGATTTGCATAACATGGCGTACAGATATCAGTTGTTGTCTGTAATGCCTCCAGAATGTTTCTCATTTCCTCTGTATTGATCTTAATGAAAAATTCCGAAAAGGTGTTGTTCTTCAGTTCGCCGGTGTCTGAGTACGAACATTTGGGTCACCCTGTATAGTGCGTTCCTCGGTTTGTTTTAGTTTAGTGGCCCTCTAAGGTGAACATGATGTAACTTCTTGATGTAATAAAATGCACAAGAACAAATTTGTACGTGCAGTGTAAGGATTGATTGGACTTTAGAGTGATTATTTCTGTGGGTATTCATTGCCAGAGTACAGACAGATTAGTTATATCGTTTTTATTTTTTTTTACTGTTGTATGATGACTTAACTTCCGGGATACAATGTCATCTTGTTCAAAGGACTAGTTCATCGTATTCATGGGGATGAGACATCATCATGCTCTAAGTATTAAGTCAGTGTACACGATGGACTACTTCACAGCACTCAGGGGCTCGGCGTCGTAGTCAAGGGGTTAATGGAAACTAACAAGATATTCCAAACTGATTAATAGTCTCGCGGCTCACCCCCTCCGTCACGACTCGTGTTGATGAAGCAGCAACCTCTTGTTGACACACCCATCTAGGTAACACTACCACGTCCCCCTGGCAACATTGATCAACACAGAAGTTATCCCAGCAACACTGACAAACAGACTGTTGCCGCCGCCTAAGTATAATGCAAGTGATGGATGTTGATGTCAGGGTGATGTTGGACAAGGCGGAAAAATGCGAAGATGGGTCATGAAATCAGCTGATTGGTCGATGGGACGGTGTGAGAGTTACGAAGGGAGGTGTGTGCTGGTGATGTGAGGGTGATAAGAGGTGGTGGGGGTGGTGAGGGTGTGGGGGGAGGTAGAAAAGGTATTAGAGAGATATTGATGGTATGGGTGAAGGTAGTGAGGTTATATGGGAGATAATGAAAGCGGGAGGGGGGGTAGTGAAGTGGGCGTGGAAGGAGGTAGTGAGGGCCTTGGAGGAGGGGAGGGAGGAGGTCATTGACATACTCGTGGCTTGTCATCTTTTGTCCCCGGTGAGAGACACTTGTCCTACTGAATAGAAGACAATGACTAGAGTGGTGGCACCCTCTTCTCTCCCTCTCCTTTCCCCACCCTCTCGCTCA